CTCCCCGTTTGGCTTCCCCATTTGTTTTCCTTCCTGGAGCCACATATGGCAATCTCTAACAGGCCAAGAATGGAGGTGGATAAACTGCAGCATTTCGCCCCCAGAACACAAGCCCTGATTTGCTATTGCAATTTGAAGGCAAAGAAAAAACCAACTGTCAAGTCACTGACAAAAAGGGACTTCAGGCTCCAATTCTGCACCATGAAAAGGAAGGATGCACCCTAAAAATGTTGCCCCATGAAACTTCATACTTCATATACTCCACCCCCCGCAAACTGGGCTGATCTCTCCTATATTTAGAGGGGGGGAAAGAGCAGAATGGATGCTTTAATCCTCTAGGTCATAAGATAGTTACTTTCCCTTTAATCTACCACCCAAAAGCTTTCCCAAATAAATTTTTAAAAATCAAGTCTTGCACAGGGTGCTCAAATGGTGAGTTGAGATGCCCTAGAAGAGTGTTTCGCAACCTTGGCAACTTCAAGATGTGTGGATTTCAACTCCCCTTATTCCCCAGCCAGCGTTCTGAATTCTGGGAGTTGAAGTCTTTCTAGTCCGCACTGTTCCTCTGCATCATCTCCCACAACCTAAGGAAGATAACGCTTTCTCCAAGCAGATTCCCTCTCTTGTGATTTCCAACATTCCCTGACCTCACATTTGCAATGCTGCCATAGCCAAGAGAATGGACTTGTTGAATGCAGAATCAGTCTTTAAAATCCAAAGCAGGTGGCTTGGCTGGTGTTCTGGACAATGACCAGCTAGTTGGATGAATACTGAAGGAATCTAACACTTTCTAGGGAGCTTTTGCTGTAGCTCAAATGACCCAGCAAGGGGTGTTTTGTGATGTTTTCCATCCATCGATCTGTCCATCCGTCCATCATCTCATCTCATCTCATCTCATCTCATCTCATCCATCCATCCATCCATCCATCCATCCATCCATCCATCCATCCATCCATCCTTTTTAACCCACTGCAGAAGAAGAAGATAAAAAGCTTTCTCAGACTTTTTCACACATTGGGTTGGAAGATATAAGAAAGGTGCAGAAGCTGTGTGTGTTTCTCTTTGCAAGTAATAAAAGATGCTTGGAGATTTGACCATAGGTCCCGGCACACTCCTGAAATGAGGGAGCCTTCTGGTTGGTGGCCCTTTAAAGCCCACCAAATATGCATGAAAGAAGTGATGGTTTAGTTGGAGGGAACCCCCTTTATTTCAGCTACTGGAGAAGTTTTTCCTAGCAGGTGCTAGAACATGGACAGGCAAACTGGACCCCATCATGCAGGGGTGTTCGCAGGGTGTGGTCAGAAAGTCAAGACGCAGTGTGCATAAAAAATAGATAGGGCTTCAAGTAGGCCATCAGGGTCACCCTCTTGACTTTTTTGACCCTATCCTGTGGACCCCTTGCCATGGCTTTGGTGCGCAGCAAGCGGGAACCCACCCTCTTGCCCCCACCCCAGCACTCCTGGAGCAAACAGAGCCAAAACAACCCGCCTTTTTAAGGTTTAAGGCTTTAAAGGGCAGCAGATGAGAGACCACACATGGCTTTAAGCTTTGGAAAGTTTCAAACTGAAGCCCAGAGACATTTTGAACTGTTGCCAGTTGGGGATTCAGCTGTCAAAAGGGACTGAGCATCTCCTTGGATTCTGCTAACTGGGCCAAGAGGCTGACCCACTGATCACGGCAACTGAAGGCTTCCTGAGGCATTGCCAAGGGACACGGGCTGTGCCTGAGTGTGCAAAGGCCCTGCCTCCATGTGCACGGGTGGGAGATGGCTGAGGTCTCACCCTTTGGTCATCCCTGTTAAAGGAAACAAGTGCCCCACAGAGGGAATATCAAGCATGGAAATCGAGAGAGATCGCCTTTGCTGGCTGTGGCAGGAGATCGAGGAAAAGCTGCGCTCAGCAAGATCCTCCCTTTTGTGCAACTCTTAAAGGCACAGTTCTGGAGCGGGCAGCCCCAAACGGGTGCCTCAATTTGCCTTGGTGACTTTGCATATCTCCAGTGCAGTCGCCTGCTAGAGAAGATAAGGGTCAATCTAATAGAACAGCTTGCCAACTGATGCATGTTTCCGTGTTTGAATGAGACCCAAGGGGCCGCTCCCAGTTTTTTATTTCTCTGGCTCCTGTGGCTTTAAGAACAGCAGGGTAAGCCCCTCCCTCCAAAAAGAAAGAAGATAGAAGATAGAAGAGTTTCCCCACCTGTTGAATTTCTGCCTGCTGATAGTAGTAGAGGAGCTCTGCTGGCTAAACCACCCAAATCATTTTGAGGCACTAGAATAGTTTTAATGTGTTCTCCCAAAAGCTTCAAATTTCACCCAGAGTCTTTGGCAAAGCATTTTGTTTCAAGACTGAGGAATGAATGCAGGTTGCCAACGTCTTTCTAACAGAGAGATTCTGTGCCATCACCGGATGAGCGACGGTGAGTGGCCCTTCCAACTAGGGCAACTGGAAACCTGGAGCCCCAAAAGTTGGCATCTGGCACGTCCCTCTCCTGCAGCTTATCTCCCGCCACGCTTGGCCCCATGTGCCTTGATGGCCCCACGAGCAGCACAGTGCTCTGCCCTGCCTTCTATCTAGCTACAACACCTCGTCCTGGCTTCACACCCACCCGCTGAAAGTACTGAGCCCTGCCTGGAGGCAGCCCCTTTTAGCCGCTCTTGGACCTCTCTGCTCCCTTCGCCCTTGGAGAATTCCTGAAACTCCCTGGAAAGAAGAGTTTGCTGGCTCGGCTTCCGTGAAATTCAGCTCCCAGCAGCGCATTGATTTCCTGGTAAAACATGCCGAAGAACACCACCGACTCATTTGGGGCAGAGGATGGTAATTCATGCTTTCATCAGCCACAAGGAGTAGAATCAATACAAGTCTTCAAACTCTTTAAGCCAACCCCCCAGGGGCAGAAACAGCGCAGAGAAGAAAGCCTTCCCGGCCCCCTTACCTGATTGAGTCCCAGCAAGTTGTTCTCCAGGCGGGAAGTGATGCCGGACAGAATGGCCGTGGCCACCACGGCTCCCAGGCACTGCGCCACCATGTACATGACCGCCCGCAGGATGCTGATCTGGCAGCTCAGCAGAAGGCCCAAGGTCACGGCCGGGTTCAAGTGGGCCCCGCTAATGTGGCCCACGCTCTGCGCCATGGTGGCGATGGAGATCCCAAAAGCCAGCGAGACCTTCACGTTGTCCTGAATGGGCGTGATGGTCTTATTGGCCATCACGGGGAATTGGAAGCCCAGCGCTGAGCCGATGCTGATGAAAATGAAGAGGCTCATGGCAAAAAATTCGGCCACCACGGCTCGCCAGAATGCTTTCTTCTTTAATTCACTAGCCATGATGTCCTTCCTCCTCGGTCTTCTTCTCCTTCTCCTCCTCCTTCTTCTTTTTCTCCTTCCTCGTCCTCCTTCCCCCCTTCCCTTTCTCCCCTTCTCTTATTGTCCCCTTCTTGCCTTCTCAGCTGGCTTCCTCCTGTGTGAAAACTGGGAAGTGAGAAAGACAGGAGAAGACGAATTATTTATAGGTTTTGGGTGGCCAGGAGGAGGGAAGGGTGTTGTACAATGGGAGGAAAGAACATCGAGCACGGTGCTTACTGTTAAACCGATGCAAGGCAGTATCCGTTGCCTGCCAATTTTTCCCCCCTCTTCCCCCAGCTTCCCCCACCCAGACAACTTTTACTCCTTCATTCCTCCCTCCGCAGACTCGGTTCCCGCAGCTGCTGTATTGGTCTCCGATGCTTTTCAATCATTCCTGATTAAGGAGCCCACCAGGTTGCTCAAATGCCTCGTCTTCCTCCTGCACAGAGCCGAGACGCAGAAACCGATCGTCGTGAAAGCTCTCCCTTACTTTCTTAATCGGAATCGCTCTTGCTCTTGCTAGTTGAGTTTTCTCGAAATGTTTGCAGGCTGCGAGTCTCCCTTTTAGGGAACGTGAAGGGACGGTGCTGACCTTTCAATCAAAAGTTTCAGAGGTGGGACGATTTAGAGAAAGAAAACGGCTAGTCCTTCACTTGAGCAGCCATCAGGGAGGTGGTCTCCTCTGATTCTGATCCCTTTTATAAAGGAGGGGAAAATATTTCCGGATTAAAACGGTACCCTTGATTGGGGAGAAGCTGATCCCACAAAGTGCAAGTTTGCTCGGTCTGGGGAACAGGAAAACGCAGCAGCAGCAGCCCCAATGATTGTCTTCTGCTAAATGCCAGCAAAGAGAAGTGGGAACTTCCACCCACTTGGATCTGAAAGGTGGTTCCTATCAGCTTCAGATCCTGAGAGATGCTGCCATAGAAACACCAGCCCTGAAACTCACGGAGGAATTTGGCTCACCCCATTTAAACTTTTCCAGCTTTATCTCAAATTCCTTCCATCGCTGAACCTTTCTCTTCAAGCCAAAGGTGGTGACAGCAGGTCTAAACTTGGGATATATTTTATTTAGATCTGGCATTCCTTCTGGGTGAACAGTCTCAAGGCATCTGAAATAAGGTCCTAAGCCCTGATCAGATTTAAGGCAGCAGTTTACAAGCCTTATCAGAGCTCCTTCTGCACCAGAAATTGGGTTTTTCCTCACCGATCCCGTCTCCTCCCTTCAAAAGTCTCGTGCATCTTCGTGAAACTCTTAGACTTACCTCCCATAAAATTACCTTCAAAGTTCTCTCTTTGGCTGAGATGAAACCAGTAGCAGTCAAAAGCAATAAGGTTTAAAGTAAATTTATTTTTAAGTTATTCTGCACCAATGCAGCATATGATATGGGGGGGGGGGGGGGGTGTGTTAAGAAAACTTCTCTGCTGGAAGCAGTTTCAACCCTGGAAGAGTAAAGCAAAAAGTTAAAGAAGTGTGCAGAACTCTTTTCCGTCCCCAGGGGCTTGATAAAATTCCAGGCCACAATTTTTATATCAAAAAGACATTCCCAAGATGTAGTAAATATCTAGTTAGGAAGAATGTACAAGACAATGGCCTGGGGAGAAGAGAAAGACGCATCGATGGGCTGTGAACCTCCCAGAACTTCTAAATGGGTTTGTGGTCCACCCATCTTGAACTGGTGTAAAATGTTCCAGTTCGTATTTTAGAATTTGGTGTGTCCTTATATCTAAGACCTCTTTTTCTCCCACAATGACCCTGTGAGATAGGCTGGTCTGGAAGACAGGGATGGGGCCCAAGTAAGCCTGTGAACTTTCATGGATCAGCAGGAACTAGAACCTTGGCCTCCCTGCTTCTAGCCCAGCACCTTCCGCACTGACCACACTGGATCTCTTATTTGTTAGATGCCTATCCCACCTTCCTTTCTGGAGCTCAAGGTTATATCTATCTATCTATCTATCTATCTATCTATCTATCTATCTATCTATCTATCTATCTATCGTCTTTTCCCTGCAATAACAACAACCTTTTGAGGTAGTCTGAGCTGAAAGAGAGAGATTGGTCCAAAGTCCCACCAGGGAGCTTCTATGGTGGATGGGGGAGTAGAACACAGATCTCCCCACTCCTAGGAAGAGCACCCCTCCCCTCCCCTCCCCTCCCCTCCCCTCCCCTCC